TGGCCCTTCCTGCCTCTATCCGATTGGAGATTTTCGTGTGGTAGGACAAGGATGTTCATATTCCCATTTAACCCCATTTAATTATTTCATTTATTTTCTATATGTGATTTAAATTTGTAAGATAAAATAAAAAGATTTGAGGTTTAAGAATTCAGGCATGAATATGATGTTCGTCCCAGAGAATCTTGTATTTTTCCATACCTAATTATACCTCAAATACGATACCACTGGAAAATGTAAAATTTGATTTAAATTTGAAAACATAAAAATAAAATAAAAAGATTTGAGGAGCATTTGTGGAGTTTCGATAGGGCTATGATCCTTGTTGACCACCAATCTCTCAATAAAAATGTATTTAGCATCTATCTCGTCCATATACAAGGTCGGGTTTATAAGATCAGCTCGAGCCGCGACCATCATGATTTTATATAAATATAATGATTGCAGATTCCTTAAACCTTCTCGAATCATCCCATCTTGGAAAAAGTAATGTTAGCATCGCTCAAAGCCACCAATCAACCACCATAACTACTTATCCTAAAGCAGACCATGATTTTCTAATAAACAAGGGAATAATTATGTTTTGATGGAAGCTAGCCTCGTTAGACAATCAAATAAGAGATCGTCGACACACAAGTCGAGCTCGGCATTATGATTGATCCGATTGATAAGACATAATTCCAAAAAAATTAAACCTATTCCTCTCTATAAATTGAAAGAGATGGTCTCCTCCAATATAAGGCCCTATGAGAAGTAATCTACAACCCCAAAAAAAAAAAAAAAAAAAAAAAAAATTTTAACCTTCGGGAAGCCAGTCTCACACTCTTCCCAACGAAACTGATGCTCCACACACTTTTCGAAAAAGGCAAGGCCAAATTGAAACAAGCAACCCTTAAATAACAGCTATGAGGGAAGCCGTAGAGAGGCTAATAAATGCAGTCAGTAGGCTAGAACGAAATCAGGCTCACATTTTCCCTTGATACCGATGTGGAATCCTCAATCAGGGAGAGCACCAGGCAACTCCCCACTAGGAGACCCTCCACTTCTCGGGAAAAATCCTCCAAAAGTCAAACCGACGAGGTCAGGAACCCTCCCCAACAACAGAACCAGTCACCAAAGAAGTTTACAGTGTGTTCGACCAGCTAGGTTCTCAACATTCTCTAACACCCTAAAGAACACATGTTGAACCTAACTTGAAACACTCACTTGAACAAGTAGAGCCTAAAATAAGCGCTCTGAAAAAGCGCATTGCCGACCTGGAAACTAGAAGCAAAGGAATGACTGAGGAATATCTTACCAAACGTCACTCCCCCTTTATAGAAGACATTTTCGTCGAACTTTTACCTAAAAAGTTGAAGATACCACAGCTGGTCGTGTGTGAAGGGAATGAGATCCCCTTAGCCACCTAGACAAATATATTTTATGGATAGGGCTGTAAGAAACAAGCGATGCCATCATGTGCTGTGCTTTTCCCTTGACCTTGGGAATCAAAGCTCAAAGGTAGCTTAGAAAATTGCACCAAAGGTCTATAAAAATCAGGAACGACCTAGCTACGACATTCTTGGCCCAATTCATGAGCCTTAAGGCCAGAACTATGCCCAAAGAGCGATTAGTAAGCATCAAGCAAGGAAGAAGTGAATCATTCAAAAGTTACCTCAATAGATTCAACAAACAGTCCATGGAGGTTGAAAAGGTCTCTGATGATGCTGCCCTCATGGCGATCCTCTCTAGATTAAGACCTAGAACGAGATTTTGGTGGTCCATCCATGAAGATAGACGTCAAAAGTACCAAAAATTTCTTAATCGAGATGAAAAACATATAAGCACGGAGAAGGCCAGGATTGAACCTTGCCACACAAGCCAGGCCAAAGATAAGAAATTGGACAAAGATTCTGCGCCTGAAAAAAGGAATGATGGGAGGGATATAGATCGCCCTAAACCTCACTCATGTAGGTTCCATGAGTACGACCACTAAAAACTACGCTGGAAGAAGTCTTTATACAAATAGGGGACAAGGAACACATTGCATGTAATTTATGATTGATCTCATTGAAGAACAAGGTAAGACCAGTTGAAAATAAACATGTTTGGATCACATTGCATGTAATTTTTATGCCACACATCCACACTTGGTTTATGTTATTTGATTATGTTGATGTACGTGATCATTGATGTGCTTAGTTATAATATTTGCAACGAAGACCGCTTTGATCTTATATTAACATAATTGATGGACAAGATTGTTCGAAAATGCCTTTTGGTTATGATAGTAAGAGTTTTGAACTCATAAGGTTATACACATTTATAAGGTAACATATATGATCCAAGTGAGAGATCATGTGGAGAATTATTAATTTGTCATAAGGGCCTACGTATGTGATTAATTGTGTATAAAGGTTATCTTACAGTTAAACTCAAAATTGAAGCATATAATAAATAATTAAGTAATTGGACTTTGAACATCTAAATAAAAATGTGTGGGCTAGATTATAAGTGTAGGGACCAGATTTCTTAAAAATTGTATTTCATGATAGGTGAAATACTTATAAATATATATAGTGTTATGGTATTTTATTCATATGTATTTTCTCATTCTTTGTGTCATCATATCAATACAAGAAAAAACATATTGAAGAGGAAGATCAAAAAACCACAATCAAGAATCAAGAAGAATAGATTGAAGCAATTAAATTCAAGAATAAGCAATCAAGATTGAACGCAAGAAATCAATCAAGAAGGGATTACAAGTTGATTTTCAAGATTTGGAATCAAGATCCAGTAATAAAGAATTATTCCAATTGAATTAAGATATGTTTCGCATTAATTAATTTTTTTGGTGATTTGACATGGAGATCTTGACAATTGATAAAGTTTAAATTTCATAAATATTTGACATGCCATATCTACATGTATATTGGGCTAAGGCCATATATAAATTGTACACTTTGCTCACAAATTTGAAAGCCATGAGAAAAAAAAACCCTTTCATATAATTAAAATTAGGGGTGAATGCGATTCGGTTTGGGCTGTTTGCACTATATTTTAAACTCAAATCATTTTATGCGGTTTGAAATTTTTTCAAACCAAACCAAACCATTTTACTTTCGAACCAAACCAAATCAAACCATAATTTGCTATTTGGTTCGGTTTTAATTCCTGATTTATCTATCGACATTATAGTAATATATTTAATATAAGTTAAATATAAGTTTAACCGAGAACTTATAATGTTAAATGTTATATTACATTCATATTTACCATGAAACCTATGAATAAGTTATTTTTAAAATTGGTTGCTAAAATATGTTAATAGAACGAATACCTTTTTCTTCATTTTTATTTACCTTTTCTTGTTTGACATTTATATTATCATATAACGGTTAGTAAAGGTAGAGTTACATTCTACTATTATAGTTTGATTAAAACTCTTTTCATCTTACTAGTGAGATGTTAAAATAAGGGTTGAACGAGATATGTTTAGATGTATACAGATTGATAGAGTTTCGACTTATAGGGAATTGACGAATTTCATCCTCTAACTACTTTATGAAAGTAGAAGGTAGTAGTACTAGTTAAGGAACTTTAATATTTCCACATAATCAATAAGCTCCGTCCTTCGTTCTTTCCAAATCACAAACAAGTTCATTAATCATCTAGGTACACGAACATTGATTTTCCAAACTACAACTTACAGATATATAATAAATTCAAAAAAAAAAACAAACAAAAGAAAGAACAATTGAAAAATGACTTAAATAAGAATCTGAGACTCACTGAAAGAGAAGAGAGAAAGAGGCGATTCATATAGAAATTAGTAGATTAACAGGTAAAGGTGACTGACAATTCGTTCAATAGTGATAGACAATCGTCAAATGTTAGGGAAATGAGAGATTATGTTAGGGCTTTTGAAATTTTGGACGTGATTTGTTGATGTAGTTTTGTTGAATTATGATTTAGATTGTTGAATTTTTTTTTTTTCATTTCATATGATTTTGAAATAGTTTTAATTTAGTTTAAATATCGGGCAAGGACGCGTGTTGTGAACCTGTTAAATCATAGGTCAATAATGATAAATCTAATTTACGTTCTATAATTATTTCAATATGCTGGTTATAATTTGTATCGCTAAATTGGTATATTTTTTTTTTTGAAAAGTGAAAGTGTAAAATTTTTAAGTTAATAAAATTAATGTTTTAATTAAAAAAAATTTAAAAAACGGTTTGGTTCGATTTTTTGCGATTTTTGAAAATCAAAACATAAATCAATCGATTTTGAAATGGTTTGGTTCGGTTTGATGAAAAATAAACCACGGGTCCATGTAGACCCGAACGAACGATTTCAACTCAATGATTTCAATTCGATTTGCGATTTCTTGATTTTTTCGTGCAGCCCTAGTTAAAACATCTTAACTTCATTCATACCTCTTCATCTCTAAAATAGCATGCATGGCTGCATGCATACCAAAGTCAACAATTTCAACCATCTATCTCTATCAAAATAGGTTATGAGTAACTCCATTCATACTTATCCTCCACACGTAACTGTGAACCGAAATCAGAAAAGACAAGGTTCTTCTATATTAGGCCAAAAAAATAAAAAAAAGAGGAAAAACAAGAGGAAAGTGGAAATAGGGATTTGATCATTTTATCCATCCCTCAATTTGTCAAATTGAGTCCAAAATTTTAATTTTTGGGATTCTATCTACGATCCTTCAACCGTAATCGAAATGAAAGATTTGAGACGATAGGTGCAAAACTAAAATAATTGGATATAGTTTACAATAATTTGAAAGATCTGAGAATCCAACTTCTCTTAGTTTAAGGGTAGCATAATCCAAGTTAATATGCCTTTTGAACGAATCATACACCGAATTACTAGCCTCTTCTTTTTCACCAACCCCACCACCACATTCTACAATATGCTCCGGTCCAACTTTATTAAATTCCATAATCACCCATTCCCTCGTCAAACTTTTGAACTTTCAAAGGAAACCGTTTCAATTACAGAAATACGTTAAACTGGACAATACTCTTTGAATTTTCAGTTCCGCCCCTTTATGTGTGTACTGAATTGAAAATGTCTACATTAAAAATATAAAATTAACTTTGACTAAATTTTTCAGAATTACAAGCGGGAAAAATCTCAGTTAATCTCTCTCTGGCAAAATGGAAAATAAAACCAAAAATACCAGAACTGAAAAAAATCAATCAATCTTGAAATCCAGTTTTCTCCCAAATTGCATTTCTGACCGTACTGAGATCTCTTCCCTTAAGGGTCCTCCCGATACCTTCGTGCACCGAAAAGGAGGCAATCTTCGTCCTCGCCATTTGCCGCGCCAAAAACTCGTGAGGCGGAATCCGATTCCCGTTCTCTCCATACTCCTCTTCGTAATCATCGCCGTCGCTGTCTCGGCGGCGGTTCTCCCTGTACTCTTCCTTCAATATCTTCGACCAGTCCGGCACGTTCACCGGAAGAGACGATGGCCCGTCGCCGACTCTCGATGCAATCGCCGACGGTGTCTTTCTGGAGATTCTCGAACTGGCTTTCTGGAACTCCGGAGAGGCCGAGCGGGACTCCAAGTTCCAGACCTCGGACTCGTCGAGCTCAAACATCGTTGAGCCTTTGGTGAGCGTCTGATCGGTTGGGAGGAATCTGTAGTTTGCTCTAGCAAAGTAGGTTTTTGATGCAGCCATCTCTCTCGTCTCTGAATATCGCTTTGTTTGATGATACGATGAGAATGGGGATTTTGTAAATGTATCGAGGGTTTGTTACTTGAAAATGGAGGTGTTGATCTGCTTTTATAAAGGGTTTGTATAGGAGAATGAAGTTTTTTTTCCCCCCTCATCTCTCTAAATTGTACCTACCTACTCTCTGTCTCTCTCCTCTTATCCTCTCTGCAACTGCACATACGATATCCCGATGTTGCCCCTTAAATTAAGCCGAAATGCTATTATGCCACTTGTTAATAAAAATTCATGGATATAAGAGTGGGCAAATTGATACACATATTTACGATGTAGATAATATAACTAACTTCATTTTATTCTTTCTTGGTTTTTTTCCTCTCTCTTTTCCTTGTTATTTGGCAATAGTAATGCTTGAACGCTAGTTTATGTAAGGTGAAATTGTTTGATTCATATAATTGAACTTATAATTTAATGTCACTAGTTCAACCATATAAATTGATATTAAACATCAGTGATATCTAATAGCATTATTTATTTAATTATGTACAGGGACGGAGGGAGGGAGGGAGAACTGAGCTGGCTATAGTCCACCAACAAAGGTTGAAAAAAAATTTAAGCTATTTTTTTTTATAAAAAAGGTATTTTTACGTATAAATGTTTTTTTCGTATTGTAGTCCAGCTTAAAATTTCATAGTTCAATCTTAAATTAAATTTTGAATGCGTCCCTGATTATGTATAAATAGCATTGCTAAATTTATGATCCTCCCACCACCCGAACTCAATATTCCTTCGTGCGTCTCCTCGTGCCCTTTTCAAATGAAGACAAAAAATTAATCTGAGGGTTATTATAGGAAACACAACGTTCGTATCTTTACAAGATGGCCATGAAATTTGTCGCGACTTGAGCGGGGAGGGTGCAATTCACCTGGTACATGTCCCAAGTTGAGGCGTCCAAGGAAAATAAACGTGTCAGTAAATTCGTCTTCTTTATGCCACGTGGCGTTACCATTACTCCAGTAAGGCCAGGGGCGTGATGCACGTGAAGTGGGGTCCTTTCAATCATCTGCCAGCTGTCTGCCTCCTTCTCCTGTAACATAGTACAGACGATTAATTATCGCGATTTCAGTTTATCGTATCTTTTTTGTCGTTTTCCATCTTCAATTTATCGCTCAAGATAATGAACTATACGAGCATTTCAAGAATTTTTTTGTTTTGATATTACAAGTGAACTCATTATTTTTTTCAACTTTTCAAATACACACTTTAAAAAAAAAAAAAAATAACTTTTCACAAATTGCGAATAGTACAGTTAATGCCATCTTGCTTAATCGAGGGTTTTCTTTATTTCCTTTTCTTTAAAATTTTAGACCCCTGTTTGAGTCACATTTTTTTAATATTCTTTCATATTATTTTTTTTACAGTATTCATTTTCAACCATACTGATGCTACCAAAAATCGTACCTGTAGATTTTCCGAGCTTGATGACTGATGATGAGCACGAACGTGATCTTCCGATACCTGAAACAAAGGCAACGAGGTGTGTTCTCGTCGCCCCTCCGATGCTTAAGTCAGAAAGGGAAATATATGCGTTCCTCGAGGAGTACTCCCGAGGACATAGGTTGTTCAATTATACCTATGGCTGTCCCAATTAATGCCCAACCTCGGGCACAAAGTATCCCGACCCCATTTAGGTATCCTGAGGTCCCCTGTAAATTTAAAGAACATCTAGCGATATCGACGGCTAGGGAGCATGGGCTCATGCCCAAATGCGACGTTAGGACGCCAGGGGTAGAGGATAGGATGGCCTTTGCTCGGGATGGAGAGTTCGTGATCTTTAGGGACTCACTTAAGGGGGGATTTCGATGGCCTCTGCATCCCTTTTTTGTGGCCTTATTGGTCGAGCATAATATGAGCCCTGGACAGCTCGTGCCAAATGGGTGGAGGATGCTTACCTATTTCTTTATAGCCTGTAGATACCTAGGAATTAACCCATACGTCGATCTCTGTAGGATGGTGTTCGACCTGAAACAGCTTCCTCAATATACTTGCTTTGCTTACCTTTCATCCCAAGGAGGATTTAGATTACCGAGGATGCCCAGTTCTTTAAAAGGTTGGTAAGAAAAGTGGTTTTATGTTATACCTCAGGATAGCGACCTTCCTTTTAGCCCTAGGTGGGTTTTGCCCGACACTCCTCGATTTTGTGAAGGCCAGGCCTATTTTGAATCTTTAGAGAGGCATAGGCTAATGTTAGAGAACCTCGAGCCTCTTGTATATGATATAGATGACATCCTCGGGGATGACGTTCTCGATCTCGCGGATGTGAAAGGCACTGAGGGTAGGACCTTTTTACCTTCCTCTTTACTGATCTGTCCTTGAACTTATAATTGTGCTCGTTCTAATGACTTGTTCTTTTTTGCAGAGATGACTTTTGATCCTTCAGCCCTTAGGCAGGCCGTGACCAAGAAGTCAAAGGCCCCTCAGACCCGAGCTCCAGGGCAGAAGAGAGGAAAGAAGAGAGTTCGGGATACGGAGAATATCAAGAGTGGCCCTGGCGAGACTTCTGCCCGAGGATATACCCCGACCACACAGGCCACGGAGACTCCTACCGGTCCACCTCGGTCACATCCTCGGCCAAAGAGTACTCCCGAGGTTGTTGACCTCGAGGATGAGATACGACCTATGCCCTCTTTCCAATACCAGGAGCCTGACTGGTGTCCTCTGGTGTCAAGCATCGTGGACAAGTACAGGAAGGACCTCGATTTTGATGAGGGCATGAAGGCTTTGGAATCTCTTACTCTGAAGGTAAAAGCTCGCCCATTCTACTTTGTTTAAAACACAAAGTTTAAAAAGGTTTAAACACTGTGATTATTTTAAGCTCGGGTTTATATGTTGTAGGCTTTGAGCATTGCCCGAGGCCTTTCTCTGAAGGGGAAAGATGAGGCCCAAAAGACTACTGAACTTGAGGACTCTTCTCGAGCACTGGAGAAGAGGATAGCCGATTTGGAGGCTGAACGATTTCTTCTTCTGAAGGAGCTCGAGGATTCGAAAAATGATGCCCATAGAGCTTGAGAAGAGGCTGGAATTGCTAAGGCCGACGCTGAAGGTTTAAAGCTCGAGATCGAGCGTTTGAAGGCTGATTTTGAGACTCGCCTGGCTGAAGCTCGAGGGGTTGCGATCGAGGACTTTAAAATGTCCGAGGAGTTTAACGGTCTTAAAGGAGAGTATGCCATGGGCTCGTACTTCCATGCCTTCAAGGAAGCTCGGGCATTTTTGAGATCGAAGCCCGATGCTAGTCCCGAGGATCTAAAGAATATCCCCGAGATTGCTGATACTCTCGAGCTGTCAGAGTTCGAGGAAACTGTCGAGGATCAAGAGGTTGATGTTGACGGCGAGGACGCGGTGGAGGAGCAGGGGAGCACAGCCTCGGGAGAAAGGGCCGAGGACTTAGATTAGTTTTTGTTTGTTTTTTGTATGATGATGGCCCTTCTGTTTTGTAATTTGAACATGTATTTTACTCGATGAAGTATTTTTCTTTTGCTGTGTTAATGTATCTCGAT